GAGGGAGAGGGAGAGGGAGAGGGAGGGGGACGGAGAGGGAGAGGGAGAGGAAGAGAGAGAGAGAGAGAGAGAGAGAGAGAGAGAGAGAGAGAGAGAGAGAGAGAGAGAGAGAGAGAGAGAGAGAGAGAGTAAGAGTAAGAGGGGGTAGGGGGAGAGAGCCAGAGGGTGGGGTGTTGGTGGTAAGGGCTATGGGGTTGGGGAGAGAGAGAGTAGGAGGGCGTTAGGGTTGGGCGAGAGAAATAGGGGGTAGGGGGAGGGGGCGTTGGTGCCAAGAGCCAGGGGGTAGGGGGAGAGAGAGAGTCAGGGGGTGGGGGAGGGAGATTGGTGATAAAAGCCAGGGGGTTAGGGGTTTGGGGGTAGGAGGGAGAGTATTTGGCCGAGGGGGGTGGGGTGTTGGTGGTAAGAGCCAGGGGGGGGGTAGGGGTTTCCGGAGAGTCAGGTCGTAGTCGAGTCGTTATGGGCAGAGGGAGAGGATGGCAGGGTCGTAAGGGTGGGTCGTGGGGCCAGAATGGGTCGTGGGGCCGTAGGGGTAGGAAGGCCATGAGGGGCAGTGGAGTCAGGAAAATAATGAAAATAGGATAGGCCTATATCTGTAAAAAGAAGAAAGAAAATTGGTAAATAAATATATGAATAGACAAATGAAAAAGAAGATAACGAGAGAAACCTTCAGAAATGATTCCAGGCGACCGCATTTAGACGTCCATTTAAAGGGAAGAAATATAAGGAAGAAGACTCGCTCACTAATCACTGACGCCCCAGAGGGAGCGGAAGGCCGGGCGCCAGGGAGGTGCGCCGGCGGGAGGAAGGAAGTGGAAGTCACGCGGGAGAGACAGATGTGCCTTTGGTGGAAGTGGAAGGGGAGAGGCTGTGATGATGCTGGCAGCACTCGATATATATAGATAGATTGATAGAGAGAGAGAGAGAGAGAGAGAGAGTGAGAGAGAGAGACAGACAGACAGACAGACAGACAGACAGACAGACAGACAGATAGACAGACAGATAGATAGATAGATAAATAGATAGAGAGAGAGGGGGGGAGGGAGAGACAGAGAGAGAGACAGAGGGAAAGAGAGATAGATGATAATAGATAGACTATAGATAGATGGAGGAAGAGAGCGAGAGAGATAGAGGGAGATAGAGAGAGAGAGTGCGAAACAAATAGATAAATCGGTATAGACAAATATATAAATAATAGATAAATGATATAGATAAGGAGATAGGCAGATAGAGAGAGAAAAATGATAAGAAATCGAACAAGAAAAGTTAACGAAAATGGAAAGAGGTCGAACGAAGAAATAAACGGTCTCTAAACTGGAAGGCGCAGTAAAGGTGTAATTCATGCGCCATTGATCGTCACTTTGAGCCTTAATGAGAGAGTTCTCAAAGGATGAAAGAGGAGGGAAGGGGGCGGGAGGGGGGATAAGGGGGAGGGGAGAAGAGGCGAGGAGAAGGGAGGGGAGGGGAAGAGAAGGGGAGAGAGGGGAGGGGAGAAGAAAAGAGGGGAGGAGAGGGGAGGGGAGGGGTGGGGAGAGGAGAATAGGGGAAGGGGAAAGGAGAAGAGAATTGGGGAAGGGAGGGGAGAAGAAGAGACGGGAGGAAGGGGAGGGAAGGGGAGGAGGGAGGGGCAGAGGAGGCAGGAGGAGGGGCGGGGCGAGGCTAAACCGCCCTTAGGATTGCGTAAATTCCGATTTGCTCTTTTTGAGAACAGAAAGGAGGGAGGCATGTGAGGGCGCGGCGGGGGTGGGGTGGGGGTGGGGCTCTTGGTGGTCGTGGTGGGAGGGGTGGGGGGTTAGGCTGCCCTTGACTCGGCATTCATTTTAAGGAAACACTTGTTGCTTTTTGAGTTTATGATTTATGGAGTTTCAGGAAGAAGAAAAGACGACGGAGGGAGGTCGGCGCGTGAGGAGGAGTTGTGTGATTTTATGTAGATATAGAAGTAAATATGCATACATACATACATGTATACATAAATACAGTGATAGATGCATCCATCCATTCATACATACATATGCACACACACACACACACACACACACACACACACACACACACACACACACACACACACACACACACACACACACACACACACACACACACACACACACCTACCCACCCACCAACCCACCCACCCAACCACACACACACACACACACACACACACACACACACACACACACACACACACACACACACACACACACACACACACACACACACACACACACATCCACAGAATAATCACTGATAATCTGTGGCAGGATTAAAGGCTCGCCGAAGCAGCGTGTCTGACTGCCCCCGCGGCCTGGCGAAATCTCCTTCTGTGCCTCCGCCTCCGCCCTCTAATTCGCCGGGCGGGAGGTTCATTTCCGACCGTTTGTTTCGCTGAGCAATGGCCGCCGGCTTGGTCTATTTTTGTGGGGCGTCTCGTCTGTGTGTGTGTAGTTGTATTACGGGCTTTTCTCTTTTTTTTCTGTTCGGATTGAGAGAGAGGGAGAGAGGGAGAGAGAGAGAGATGGGGCGGGGGAGAGGGAGAGGGAGAGGGAGAGGGAGAGGGAGAGGGAGAGGGAGAGGGAGAGGGAGAGGGAGAGGGAGAGGGAGAGGGAGAGGGAGAGGGAGAGGGAGAGGGAGAGAGAGAGAGAGAGAGAGAGAGAGAGAGAGAGAGAGAGAGAGAGAGAGAGAGAGAGAGAGAGACTATGTATGTAAGCATATTTATTTCTATATCTAATCTGGCCCCTGTCCCTCCCGCCCGCCGCCCGCGCAGACGTTCGTGGGCGTGACCAACCTGAGCGTGCTGGAGCGCGTGCTGGAGAGCGAGACGGTGTACCTGGAGCTGGTGCAGGAGGAGACGTCGGGGGAGTCGGTGCTGGCGGTGTTCGAGTCGTCGGTGCGCGACCTCCTGTTCCCGAGGCCGGCGGAGAGGCTGTCGTACTCGGGGGTCGACCTCGACCTGCTCATGGAACCCACCAGGGACTTCCCGGTAAGGCGGAGGGGCGTCGCTGGTGAGGGTTTCTGAGGGGGACGTCGGAGGGGGAGGGAGGGAAGGGAGAGAGGTGGGTGGAGGAGAGAGAGGGAGGGGGTTCATGATTTATCCATTATTGGCTTATCAGATTTAAAGGAAAAAAAAATTCTCTCTGTGGTGAAGAATTATTGGTATCATGATGAGTCCTGAGTCTAGGGGATTGGGTCGTGCGGAACCTCAGCACGATTTTAATTCTCCATACACGAAATGTGCGTAACCCTTTCTGACTCAAACCCACCCTCCTTAAGAGTAACACTTGAAAGCGACCCGCAGAAATAAACCACTAAACCACACAGAAATTTAGAAAGATTGTCGAACTAGAGTCAACACCAGCTTTATGGGAATAACCTACTTACAAGATTTTACAAACAATCACCTTGATGAGCAGTCGGTGGAAGTGATGTAGTTAGTCAAGATTAGGATTAGACGATGAAATGATTGTCTCATCAGAATAGAGATTTTGCCCTGAGTAAAGTCCAACTGCAACCGGTCATGGCAAGACTCTGAAGGCAGGATATTTGAGAGGCAGGGAATTTAATTTAGATGCAGATTTGATTTAGATTTAGTCAGAGTCGGGGCGGAGAGTTACTGGCGCCCTTGCCGTATCCTTCCGCGACTTAGAGGGCACGGTCCTCTGCAACGATGCCGCGGCTGGATTGCAAGATGAAGCTGTCCATAAGATGATTGATGCGAAAAAATGTCTTTAGTAGTGAGGAATGGTCGGTTTATTACTATTTTCAGTTATTCTTTTCGCATTATTATTATTATTGTTTAAATTCTGCTCTCTCGTACGTGTGGGTTCAGGGATGGATCGTAGATTTCTTGACGAAAATGCTTTACTACAATTCTTCCTTTGTTTTTTTTTCATTATTTCATTTCTTTTTTTTTATTATTTCACGATATATTTTTCCTTCTATTATTTCATGATATTTTTTTTTCCTCTGTTCTTTCATGATGTTTTTGCCTCTTGTTTTTTTTCTATTCCTACTTTTTCCTTCGCCCTTTTACCATTTTTTCCCGGGGAATAATTTTGCCGAAGATCGAGTATCACGATCCTTTGCCTTATCTATATATATTTTTTTTCACTCTTCCCTTTCTCTTTTCTATTTTTTTCCTATTCTATAATTTTCCTCCTTATTTTTTGTTCTTGTTATTTTTTCCTCTTCTTTCATGATGATTTTTTCCCTGTTGTTATTTATTCCCGGTCGCTTCTCCCAGGCAAGAGTTTCGGCCAAGTTCAAGGTGTCGACAGAGACTTATATATATATATTTTTTTTCTTTTTGTATTTTTTCAGTCTTTCATTTCCCTTTTCCCTTTCTTTTCTGCATTTTTTTTTTCCTTCCTGGTGTTTTTTTCCCCCGGTCGCTTCTCCTAAGGATATTTTCCCAAGCGAACCGACTCTATAATCACTATATTTGTCCTTATATTATTTTTCCAATTCTTTCTTTTTTTCATTTCATTTAATTAATTCCTTTCTTCTTCTTCCTGTTGTTCTTTATTCCCGGTCGCTTCTCCCAGGGAATCATTTCGCCCAAGATCGAGGTGTCGACGAGGACGAGCGTGAGCGAGACCCGGACTCCCCTTCACCAGTGCGAGCAAGACACCGTCAGCTTCGGACACGCGCAGAACCGGGCGACGAAGGTGAGGAGGGGAGAGGGAGGGAGGGAGGGAGGAGGGGGAGTGGAGGGGGAGGGAGAGGGAGAGGGAAGGAGGGAAGGAGGGAGAGGGAGAGGGAAGGAGGGAGGGAGGTAGGGAGGAGAGGAGGGGAGAGGGAGGAAGGGAGGGAAGGAGAGGGAGTGGGAGGGGGAGGGGGGGAGTGGGAGGGAGGGAAGGAAGAGGGAGAGGGAGTGGAGGGGGAGGGAGAGGGAGGGAGTGAGGGAAGGAGGGAGGGAGAGGGAGTGGATGGGGAGGGAGAGGGAGAGGGAAGGAGGGAGGGAGGGAGGAGGGGAGTGGGAGAAGGAGGGAAGGAGGGAGTGGGAGGGAGGAAGAAAAGGAAGGAAGGGAGAGAGGGAGAGGGAGGGAAGGAGGGAGTGGGAGGGAGGGAGAGAAGGAAGGAAGGGAGGGAGGTAGAGAAGGAAGGAAGGGAGAGAGGGAGAGGGAGGGAAGGAGGGAGTGGGAGGGAGGGAGAGAAGGAAGGAAGGGAGGGAGGTAGGGAGGGAGGAAGGGAGGGAGAGGGAGTGCAGGGGAGAGGAAGAGGGAGGGAGAGTAGAGGAAAATGGAGGGAGGGAAAGAGGGAAAGGGAAAGGGAGGGAGAGAAGGATGAGGGGGAGTGGGAGGGAGAGGAAGAGGAAAATAGAGGGAGGGAAAGAGGGAGAGGAAGAGGGAAGGAGGGAGGGAAAGGGGAAGGGAGGAAGAGGGAGTGAGAAGGAAAGAGAGAGGGAGAGCGAAAGGGAAGGAGGGCAAGAGGGAAAGGGAAAGAGAGAGGGAGGGAAGGAGGATGGGGAGTGGGATGGAGGGAAGGGGGAGGGGGGATGGGAGGGAGGGAAGCTTGGGAACATATACCCAAGATTTAAAATAGTGGAACATGTAATGAAGAATCACCATCTTAGCTGATGTACGTGTCTCCCCCAGGCGGTGTTCCGACCGAAGTCTCCTGACGAAGGGAGAAAGGGCGAGGGCGGCGGATCGAGCGAGGGCGGCGGCGGCGTCGGAGGGGGAGGAGGAGGAGGAGGAGGAGGAGGAGGGGCGTTGGTGCGGGGCGAGGAGGAGCCGCTGCCCCTGCAGACGAGCCCCAGGCACGGTGAGGCGTCCTGCTTGTCCCGCTTCTCTCCTGCTGCCTTTTCCCTTCGTCTCGTCGATTCCCGTGCGGACGCTGCGTAAATTCGGTCGCCGAAAGACCACTTTTTGAGATTGCGTTCTAAGGAGCGTGAGAAGAGGCAGATTTATTTTACGAACTTGTTTGTGTTTACTGGATTAAGAAGCGTATTTCATTCTCTTCTGTCCTGATCCAAAATATGTCTTTCACTCTCATAGTATTGTAATATTTTACAAGGTAAATATATATACCTTGTGGATAAAAAGTACAGTTAAGTTATAATATGCGACCATTTTAGCTAGGCAGAGATATTCTTATTCTACTATTAAGATGGATAGTTGTTTTGTTTCAGAGCAAGCAGTATGCTCTTTATATCCCAAGGAAATCCAGTCGTAGGATACACTTTTCATGTAGTTCCGAAAAAATCGCGTTTGTTCACACTTAACTTTGGTTTATCTCGAAATATTAAACATCTGTAGCAGAGAAAAATAGGTATACACATTATAATTTTATTGAAAGATGACCCACCAGCTTCGAAGACCAGGAGGATTGCGAAACTTTCAATAAAACTATTATTTGTATATTGATATTTCCAGGCATTTTATCGACAGAAAATTGTATTCTGACCTTCATTAATCAAATGTGCATTGCGGGTCTCCTCCTGACCCACAGGCGAGAGCAGCAGGGCCTCCGGGAGACGAGACGAGGGCCCGAGACCCCGCTTCGTGTACCGTCGCCCCGATGACGATCTCCTCTCCCGCATCCCTTCGTCGCCCACCAGGAACAACAAGTATACTTTTTTATATTTTTTGAGTAATTTCTTGTTGTTTTTATATCGGAATTGTTGAGTAACAAGATCGGTTGCTGATCTACCGTGTTATTGTTTTTTTTGTGTGTTTGTGTGTTTGTTTGTATGAGAATGCTTGTGATATTTTTTTTCTGATTACGCTATTGATTCGTGAAACTAGAATTATGGTTATAGTCATGGAAGACAACTGATTATTGAATATATATAGCAGCAAGAATGATGAAAGACAGCGACTACTAAAACTACTTAATCTTAATCATTTTCTTTTTATTACACGTTATCGTTTCCGAAGTGAAGACAAATAGAACAAAGAATTACCTCCTCCCCCGAGAGATCCCCCCCCCCCCCCCAGCGCCATTCCCATGCCCCAGGCCCCACCACGCACCATGATATCAACTCTTTCTATCAGTTCATGGTTATTGTGCATGAGTTTTAATGGTTATATTTGTCTTCATTGATGGCCACCCACCCGCCTTACCCATAGGTACCTTGGTATCCGCAGTCGGTACCTGTCTCGGAGCACCGGCAACCTTAGCGACCTTCCCCGCACCGCTCTGCCCAGCAGGTAAGGGCGAAGGGGCACGGCGCTGCTCGTGGCGTTTTCCGCGAACGGCTGCTTGATATATGCGCTGGCTGAGTAACGTGGAGTATGTTTATTGGCGACGACGCGGACGCAGATGACCTTGTGGTATCGATGCTCCTCCTGCAGATACGGCAGCCGCCAAGGGAGGACGGATTCAGGAGGCCTGGCGAGGACGTCGAGCGAGACGGAAGGAGGCGGGGGAGGCTACACGCACCCGAGGAGGAGGGCCAAGGACGACCTCGGCCACGACGCGCACGTGACCCTCGTCGAGCCAGGTACGTCGGGCACGGGAGGTCGGCCCTCATCAGGTGGAATTCTAACGGCTCTCGGG